CCCCAAACGCAATCATCATCACTACCTCAGCTACCTTTAGAATCACCGTCCATACAAAATAAATCCCACTATCAGTCGTCTCACCAACGGTCTACATTTTTCACATCACTATCTTCTCAAACTCAATCACCACCATCACATCAACATTTGCCATCACCGACCATACTAAATCAACCACCCCATCAGTCTTCTCACGAACAGTCTAGATTTTTAGCATCACTATCACCACATCAACAGCTACCTATAGCATCATCGTCCGTACAAAATAAATCCCACTATCAGTCGTCTCACCAACGGTCTACATTTTAACATCACCATCTTCTCAAACTAAATCACCACCATCACATCAACATTTGCCATCACCGTCCATACTAAATCAACAACCCCATCAGTCTTCTCACGAACAGTCTAGATTTTTAGCATCACCATCACCACATCAACAGCTACCTTTAGCATCATCGTCCGTACGAAATCAATCATCCTATATATCTTTATTTGGACCAGAGACACCCTGAAGAGTTTTTTAAGTCTAATACATATAAATCAAAAAATTGTCTTACTACTTTAATTTTATTATTGTACCCAGTATCCTCTACCCTAGTTACACCTAAAATATAAAATACGTGGCTTTATTTAGAAATGTCATACAAAACGAAAGGTGAATGTATACACAATACAAACAATTTTTACTATAGAACTAACTTTCTGAATCAGCTCTCCCATAAATTTTAGTTGAGCGAGAACTTATCGATTTTTTTAAAGAAAAGCAAATTTTTTTAATTAAACAAGATGGCCCAATGGTAAAATATATTTGTATACCTACATGTGTACCGTTATCGTTACAGCCTATTAAAGTCCACTGCTACATATAGATATCCCCCATAGGTTGCCTCTTAGGGGGGATATTTGCCATAGTTGCCACACTTGGCAAACGGGCTGGCGACCGCAGTTTATTTTTATTTTTAGTCGTTATTAGGAAGACTGTTGCCTATCTCCTGATTTGTTTCCCTCTGTCGCCTCTTACGACACCCACGGGGTGATATGGAATAGTGGTTATTCTTACACCGCTACTACAAGGCCGTCATTCAGGCGTACATCTACTTTAAATTTGTCACCGTATAATCATCCATTCCGTAAGTTTATAATAAATGTTTACAATTATACGGTAACATATCCAAATAAACTACCTGTATTTAGTCTAGGAGGAATCGGCGCATGAGTACCGAAAACTATTCTACCTCACATTTTTTATGCGATTCTGTTCAAATTTGTAGTGTTTATAAATTTACTCATATATTTTAAATGAGTCTGAGTATCTGGATTTGAGATTTTCAAACATTTAAAAATTTATAACTCCGAAAACATTAACTTCTACGTAAAAAGTCATAGGACCTTTTTTATTTATATTTTATCAAACAATATAAAAATATCTTTTAAATTTTTTTATTTTTCTATACATTTTAATGGGTTGATAGTATTCAAATTTGGAATTTTAAAACATTTAAAAATTCATAACTTCGAAAATATTAACTTTATCGTAAAAAATCATATAATTTTTTTTTTCGTATTTTATCAAAGAATTGAAATAAAATGTCGTTTTAAAATAACAATTCCTTGCAATTGAAAAAAAAATCGGTATAAACAATATGGCACCGAGTTGCCCCATGGCAACATGCATTTATATCATCTGTAAGACAATTTGAAGAGAATCGCATAAAAAATTGAGTAGGAAGGAATAGTTTTTGGTATTCATGCGCCGATTCCTCCTGGACTAATTCATCGCTGACGCCGCAAAGAGGCGAACCTCAATTTATCAAAAAATTTGGTACAGGACGGCAAGAAAACATTTATTATTCCCCGATTACTAGCTTATTTTCATCAGAAAATTAAATATATTAGACTTAATGGAAAACTACAAATAAGATTAATTTACTGATGAAAAAAGCTAGTATTCGGAGAATAATGAATGTTTTCTTGCTCTCCTGTGAAATCGAAAAATTGAGGTTCGCCCCTTTGCGGCGTTAGTGGCGAATTACTTATTCAACCTATAAAATACCTACCTTTCTTCTTATAATCTTTCAATACCATGAGTATTGCTTTACATGTTTCCGGAATTATAACTCCTAGAAGTTGTGGCGATATTACAGTTTGAAATTTCAATTCTTCATAGCTCATTCCCGATGCTAAAAAACAAAGAGTGGCAGTCAGCCTTTCATTGGGGCTAACAGCTTGTCTCATATTTGTATCTTGTTTCACAATATATGGAGTCAAAAGTTCAAGTAGCTTGAAATATGTGTATTCGTCCATTATTAAATAGTTACGCCAGTCACTTGGTTCCAGTGATAACTCATTTAATAAATTAATATGAGATAATTGATATCTCTTTTTTAACCATCCTTTCGTCCATTTCTTTTTGGGTTTTGAAGTTATTAAATGGCAACAAACGGCAGTAGCAGTAAGTAAAATATCCTCTTCAGAAGATGAATCCATTTATTTCAACTGACGCGGTGAGAGGTTTGTTAGCCACACATGTAGCGCACGTATACGCGCGGCCCTGTCGATCGAGAAATGACATATATACAGTTTGAATAGAATACAGTAGGTAATCTACGTGTTTGAACTAGGACTGTTGATAAAATATCGATATTATTATTTAGAAACATCGACATTTATTACTAATATTTTTTGGAAAATATACCGATAGTATGATTTTGAAATATAGACATCGTTAGTCGATTTTTTTAAAATAAAAAGTTTTATTTTTTTCTCGTAAATCATTTAAACTACTACTACCTACTATATTATGCTTTTCAATTTTCCCCAGTTTGTTTATTTGCTTATTGTCTTAAAAACAAATGTCGTTTTGTATAGTACATCTCTGTGGTATTAAAATTACTATAATCTATGAAACTTAGTACTACTTTACTTACTGTGAGCTTTGGCGGGAACTTGACCGTCAACGGATTGTTGCTCCTGTTTTATCATGTCTGCGCGTGTGAACTATTAGAGTAAACGAAGAAAAAAGTGCTTCGATGTTGATATAAACCTCAAGTTATTTTGATCGCTTAGGCGTCTTATGAACTTGAGTGACTGTCGTCGTCGACTGTCCGCTGGCGCAGAATAAATAATAGTACTATGTACCGCTGGATATACAGTTTACTCCCGTACTATCAGAAATAGCTGTTAAATATTTGATTTCTTCAGCTACATCTGTAGCACCTGTGCTTCTACAATCAAACTTTTAGTGCCCAATGATCGTAGTCATCAAACAGTTGAACATATAAAACTATGAGTATTTTTGAAAACTCTTACGGAAAAATATTGGTACACATAATTGTCTTATTTAAATTAAACAATAATTACTACGAACTAGTTACTAAGAACTATGAGTCGTGTAACTCAGATGGTTAGCGCCCGCTGTAAATTTGACAGTACGCGAGCAACCCGAGTTCGATCCTCGCCGGAACCAATGAATTGCAATTTTAAGTGCTGATTTACCGCGTACTCAGGGGTGAAGAAAAATATCGTGAGGAAACCTGCATTTCTGAGAAATAAGAAAAAAATATTTCGAAGACATGTGAAGGTCGCCAACACGCATCGGGGCAGCGCGGTGGACACTTCCTTGCCCTAAAACCCTCTTAGAAATGAGGGGAGGCCTGTGCCCAGCAATGGGTCTTATGTAGGCTGTAACTTTAACTGACGTCGAAAATGATGAGAATAATGAAGAATGAGTACTTTCACTTAGAGCGTAAGAGGATTCTTTTTCTTGTCGAACTCTGTCTCCCGGGCCGGAATTTTTTTGAATAGTTTTGATGAAGAATTAGCGTGTCGTTCTCTATTAAATAATTGTTATGATACTTTGGTGGATACTCCTGCAACGAGCAATATTTCACTTCAACCTTCTCCATCTGTGGTCACCGCGTCAGTGCAGTCTCCAAGAAATATTTCCAATGTTCTGCTGCCTCAATCAATACCATCCCCATTTCAATAAGACGCACAAGAAACAAGAAATTAAAATAATGCTGCTCCTTCTACATCCAACCAAGTCAGAAATAAGCGAAAAAAACTAGAACACATGGATTTCAAATTCAAACGCCAAAAATTCATAAGCCAGGTACACATAGATTCAGAATTTCACTCTTCTATAGATTATATGGATAAAACATTATTCAATTGTTTGAAGAAGCTTTGGAATGAGGATTTATGGAACCACTTCGCCGTACTCGTAATGACCAATTTATACTCTATGCAAAAACATGTCAAGTCAATAAATCTAACAGTCAAAGACATAAAATACTTTGTCAGTATTGAAATTTTAATAGGAATAGTAAACATGCCAGCTTATGCTGATTATTGGGCACAAGGTTCACGTTTTGCTCCTGTCGCAAACGTTATGTCTCTCAAAAACTATGAGACTATTAGAGGAAACTTACATTTTAGTAATAATGCGGAGGATGATCATGTAGATTTTTATTTTAAAATTAGGCCCGTGATGGAACACTTATGGCTAAATTGTTTGGCAATTGAATAGAAAAAGTCATAATCCATAGACGAGATGATGGTGCCGTATAAAAGTAAAAAGGCTGGCGTCAATAAATGCTGAAAAATAACCAACAAAATGGGGCTTTAAATTTTTTGTTCGAGCTGGGAATTTCGGGATAGTATATGACTTTTTTGCATACGATGGTAGCAACAATTTTGAACATGCTTAATTTAAAGGTAGCCCTACACGCTAGGTTATAACCGATGGTTATGCTTGCACAGTTGAACTGTGCAAGCATAACTGAACGTGTGTAAGACATAATTTCTTGCCTGCGCAAGCAAAATAAAAAATATAGAAATTGATATTTTTGCCGCTCGGTTGTGCTCGCGCAGGTCACTTGCGCAAGCATAACTGAACGTGTGTAGCAGATGCGCTTCAGGCTTCAGTCATCCAGCAAATTCTGAGGGGATAAGACGTCGTCACTCATCGTTGGCGCGTCGTACGTCACTGCGCAATGATGTCTCGCAAACGAAATGCAATTTTAGAAGAATTTATAGAAATATATAAATCGGAGCCCTGTATATGGCGATTGAAGGATAAAGAGTATCATGACCGAAATAAAAGAGCGGCAGCATACGAAAAACTTATAATTAAATTAAGAGAACTAGAGCCAAATGCGACAAAGGAGGATGTTGTAAAAAAAATTAATGCGCTACGAAGTAACGTACGTAGAGAAAAAAGAAAGGTTGAAGAATCCACTAAGTCGGATGCGTCAGGTGACGAAATTTATAAACCGTCGTTGTGGTACTATGACATGTTTGAATTTCTCGGAGATCAGGACATTCCTCGTACTTCACAGTCCAATATAGATGAAGCTGATCAAACTGAGGTATTTTTCCGCCGAAACAGGTAATGTTTTTCGAGAGTATGTCGTACCTACTTGTATGTATGTCTATTTCTTTGGCACGTTCTGCTAGGCTATTCGCGTCGTGTTTTCAGACACTGAGCGAAGTGAACACAAAATGAAATACATAATAAAAATAGCACTGAAAAATTAACTTTACTTCTATTTACATAGAGTGTAAAATTGAATATAGGACTTACAAGACATTTCCTATGTTAAAGTATGTTAAATTTTTGACTGTATTATATAATAAAAATAAGGTTAATTTTTTTGTGTTATTTTTATTATTTCATTTCGTTTTCACTTCGCTCAGTGTGCGAAAACACAACGCGAATAGCCTAGCTGTAATCTAAATGGCTCAACAGATTTTGATGTTATTTTCTCACGTTTTCGAACTTGTATGAAAATTATTAATTTGGTGTTATTCTGTTTTATTTGATGGTTCATCCAGGAGACAGATATAAATACTTATTTGCTGTAAGGGTAATAAAACATTTATTAGCAATGCCATTATTTTTATTAGATATACCTAATCAAACTGAATACATACAATAAACTTAAGCCGCAACGAAGTTATCTTGCCACGATACGCTGCCTTCATTTACGAAGTAATTAGTAAATTTCTCTCGCACCTGTTTTGCATAGTTTGAAATGTTTCCTTGCCTTCGCTGTAAGTTAACCATAGTCGAACGGGTAGTATTATAGCCTTCCGTGATAATGGTACCATTAGCAGCATTTTCTTCATAAAAACATTCCCGGGGCGCATAAGAACTTCCTACGTGTTTCATTAAATAATTATGCAGTACGCATGTTGCCATCACTATTTTTTCTATATTCTTTGGCTCTAGATTTATTACAGTATGGTATATTCGAAACCTAGATGCTAAAATACCAAAAGCATTCTCAACAATATGTCTATCGCGAGACAATCTATAATTAAATATCTTTCTTTCGCGTGAATGCAAGTCAGCTTGTCGAAATGGTTTTATCATATCAACTCTGAAAGGGAATGCGTCATCAGCAACAAATACGTATGGGAACTTGTTGAGCTGTTTTTGACAACTTCAGCGTCTGGAAGTTCCTTTTTGTTATCTTGGAGCATTTCAAAAAACTTGGTATTCTGTAAAACACCTCCATCAGAAATTCTGCCATTTGTTCCAAAATCAACCAGTAGAAATTCGTAATTAGCATCTACTATTGCCATAAGCACCATACTGTGTCGTTTTTTGTAATTATAGTAATACGATCCGCTGTCAGCAGGTGAAACTATGTCAATGTGCTTACCATCGATCGCACCTAAGCAATGAGGAAAATTCCACCTTTCTTCAAATTGTTGCGCTATATTTCTCCATTTTTCAGATGACTTAGGAAACTGTAACAAAAATTATTGTTTTAGGAAATTGCTGATACCAGGGATAGTAATGAAACTTCGGATACAGTAACTCCAGAAAATATAAATATAGCACAAAACTCATCATCCCAAGAACAGCAGCAAGAGTCAGCGGCGAAACGACCAAGATCATCAAGACCCGGTAAAAAAAAACAACGAGCCAGAAAACCTAACGAACGAAGTATTAACTTCTATTAGGGATCACTTTAAACGACCTGCAGCTTCACCACCACCGCAAGAAGACCGGTATGATTTACTAGGTAAATCAATAGCATTGAAATTAAGGGCAATGGAAAAACGCCAGCGGCTTATATTTGAAAAACTTATAAATGATACTTTGTTTGAAGGAGTAATGGGAAATCTTACCACAGAAAGCTATCAGAACAGAAATATTCCACACTATCATAAAGGTCTATACATAAATTCTCCTAGTCCGACATCCATCTCAAGTACTAGCCCACATCATACACAAAGTCCAAGTCCATCATTGATGCAACAAGTTCAATATACTCTATTTAATGCGAACTCTTCTGATATATCAACAGTGTTGCCGCATTTGGGGTAATTTTCCCAAAATGTACTCCTGTAAAATTTTATATGAAAAGATTTTTTTTCACCGATGGTTTTGTATACATAGAAGAGAAAAATTAAATAGGACAAAATTTTGGTAATTGCTGATGATTGATAGACTAAATAAATACTTATCTACTTATCAAATTATATTTTCTTTTACCCTTACCTTTAGATAATCCTTTTGTAAAACTTTATAAATTGCATCACAAGTTTCAGGAATTATTTTGCTTAGAGCCTGTGGCGATATCAAGGCCGAATATTTTAAGCATTCATATGACCGTCCTGTGGCAAGGAATCTCAAGGTCACAGATAACCTCTCGTGTGGTGATATAGCGGTTCTCATAATGGTGTCCTGCTTTTGTATCAATGGAGTCACCTTTGATAACAACGTAAGATAAGTTTTTTCGTCCATTCGTAAATAATTATGGTAATCTTTCGGATAATATGTCAATTCTTTCAGTAAGTTGACATGGCTGTATTTTCTCCTCTTCAGTAACCACTTTTTACACCACTCTGTACGGCTTCGTTGTTTATCTCTCTTTTTCTTCAAAATTACAATTAATAATCCTATTAACGCTATTGCGTCGATGTCAACCACCGCTACCGGTGCCATGATGGAAACTGAGAGCTTGTGCAGGTATGTTGTTACGTGTGTGTGCCCTATGAAACTCGGGCGAGCCTGTCGGTTTTGCTTGCACAGGCAAAACTGACAAGCATAACTTAGCATGTGTGGCCTCCCTAAGAGTAGGAAAATAATTATCTCGGCATTGGCGGGAGAACAATTATAAAGATGTGTAAACCTATAAAGGATAAAGCTTTATCAAATATTTATTTTGATAACTGGTTCACGTCTCTGAAGCTGATATATCACCAACGATAATATGGAATTCTTTCTTTGCGAACTATAAGGAAGGACAGACTTAGAGGGCAGAATAAGAAGAAAAAAGGTAGAGGAAGTAATAATTTCAGACAATAAAAATAAGCTATCAATTGTAAAGTGAGTGGACAATGAATTTGTAAATTTAGCGAGTTCATATCGCGGAGAAGAACCTGTTGCCGGCATTTTACGCTATAATAAATTTGTATTTATTTTACGTTTGCTAAAATTGTTACATCACATAATAGTATAGACCACAAACATTATTTTTCAAGTCAACATTTTTTGACACAAATTCGGGTTGGATTCTTTTTGCTTAACCACGTACGTTTTATCTTTTCTTTTATATTAACATTTAATTACATCCCTAACAATACAAAAATAGATCTTTGAGATAAAATCATGTTTTATTATTGCTTTGCCGCTTTAAGGGTTAATATTTGATTAAATAAATCTATATAATATTATGTTTATTATATTTAAACTCCATCAGCGAAGACTTTTGTTTAAATTATTTTATTTTATTTTGCTGATTGTTGGTAATGTACATTCTTTCCGAATTTAATGTTTCTTTACTTTTTTATTTTTTACCCACTTGATGCAGTTTGTTGTAACTGCGTAAGAAGTAGAGGCCCAAGAAAGTATTGAAACTGCTTATTCCATTAGAAGATTTGGGTATAGAAATATTTGTATTCCATGTAGATCTTCAATTTTAAGAGCACACGACACACGGGCTGTGCCAATTAACCCAGCAGAAAGAGATATTATTTTGCAGTAAATACAGGGTGGGCCAGAATAAAGTTCACTTTTCTTTGGCAAATAGATAGTCATGCGTGGGAAGTAGCGGGGTGCGCGCTAATCGGGTGACGCGTCTTACGCAATTTCCGTCGCCATGAGTCAGTTCACGGGGGAGCAGCGCGCGTTCGCGGTTCAAGCGTTTTACGAAAATGGTCATTCTTACATTATTGTGCCGCGTATGTTCAGAGTTAAATTCAATTTACGGAGTATCCGGCAGTGTCCTAGTACTCAGTTGCTAAAACAATGGCTGAAGAGGTTCCAAGAAACTGGTTCGACGCTACCAATGAGACGTCAAGGTCGCCCACGTACTTTACGCACGGAGCAAGCGATTCAGGAGGTTAATTGATCTGTCCAAGAAAATACGAAACTCTCTACGCGACGACGTTTAGCGACTTTGGGGATTTCGCGAAGCAGCTTAAGACGAATTTTGAGACAAGATTTGAAGCTTCATCCTTATAAGATCCCGTTGGTGCAAGAACTTTCCCATGATGACCACAAAAAAAGGGCTTCATTTTCCACCTTGATGTTAGAGCGGTTTTCCAACTTCGGGAACATCCTTTTCTCGGACGAAGCCCACTTTCACCTGAACTGATTTGTCAACAAGCAGAATGGCCGTTTCTGGAGTGCTGAACAGCCTTTGCGCAAGCATCAAAAGCCACTCCACTGCCAAAAAGTGACGGTTTGGGCTGCCATTTCGGCCAAAGGGCTGATTGGGCCTTATTTCTTTGAAAATTCTCGAGGTCACGCAGTAACCGTTAATACAGACCATTATGTGGAAATGCTTCAAAAGTTTTTTAGGTCAAGCCTTGCTGGGCTGCAAGAGTACAACTCCCTGACCTGGTTCCACCAGGATAGGGCCACCTGCCACACGTCTAATGCCAGCATGGAGGTCGTACAGGAGCTGTTCCCCGGTAAAGTCATCTCAAGGAGAGGTAACAGGTCACATTCGACGAGGTATGGATAACAAACAGCTCACTGTGTTAGTATTGCTTGATTTTAGCAATGCGTTTAACACTGTTGATTTTGACATCTTATTGAGTGTGTTACGTTCTATTAACATATCTCCTCCGGTGATTGGCTGGTTTCATAGTTATCTTTACGGCCGACGGCAGCGTGTTCGCATCGAAGATGAGTTCTCATCTTGGTGCGAATTACGGGCTGGAGTGCCTCAGGGTGGTGTGCTGTCTCCTTTACTTTTTGCTATATTCATTAATTCTATCTCTCAAAATATTACTTCTCTCTATCACATGTATGCAGACGATCTCCAAATCTACACTCAGTCAACTCTGTTAAATCTGCCTTCTGCTGTTGCCACCATCAACAATGACCTAGCGGCGATAAACCAGTGGAGTCAGCGTTATGGTCTAAAAATTAATCCGTTCAAGTCCCAGGCTATAGTTATTGGTGGTGGAGGGATGGTCTCCAGAGTTGACTGGAACAACCTACCCTCGGTGACACTAAATGACGTTGTCATACCCTACAGTAAATCTGTAAAAAATCTGGGAATATATCTAGATTCTACCTTGTCGTGGTCGCAGCAGTTAAAACAAGTGAGCAAAAAGGTGTTTGCTACTATGGGTTTACTTCGTCGTTTACGTTCTTTTCTCCCCATTCCCACTAAGATTATGTTAGCACAATCCTTACTTCTCTCTATTCTCGATTATGCGGACGCAAGTTATCTCGATTTAACTGAAGACTAACTGAACAAACTTGAGCGAATTCAAAATATTGCTATTAGGTTCATATTTGGTTTGCGTAAATATGATCATGTATCCGAATATCGTTTACAGCTCAAGTGGTTACCCATTCGCTTTCGCCGGAATCTGCAAACTGTATCTCTTTTGTACTGTGTGTTGTTCAATCCTTTGACTCCAAGCTACTTGAAGGAAAACTTTAAGTTTCTTGGTCATGATCGACCTGATAGAGTTCTTCGGTCAGCCGGCGAACTAATTCTAGAACCATGTTCATTTCGAACAAAATTTATGAAATATTCTTTTACGAGCCAAGCCATAAGGTTATGGAATGAACTTCCACTCCAAATTCAACGTGCTCAAACTTTGAAAAGATTCAAAAGTGACGTCAAGAAGCATTACCTAACACTTTGTGGTTATTGATAACCAATTCTAGCAATATTTATTATCTTTGTATATATATGTATGTGTATATATTTATATATATATATATATATATATATATATATATATATATACCTATTTATTAATATGTATGTTTATTTTATTATTATTTTTTATGTATTATTGTGGTATTTTAACAAAATATAGTTTAGTTTATTTAGATATTGGTATGTAAGTGTAACATAAAGCGCACCACCTCCTACTGTTCTTAATTCCAGTTTCTCTTTAGCCCAAAGGTTGTCTGGAAGAGATCGCTCTTTAGCGATAAGACCGCCTTATTGTACATACGTATATATTAAGTTTTCTCTGTAATGTATTTATTCGTTGTATATGTGTGGTGTACAATAAAGTATATACTACTACTACTACTAACATCGAGTGGCCACCACGAAGCCCAGACTTGTTCCCACCGGATTTCTTTTTGTGGGGATTTCTCAAGAATAAGGTCTATTCCAATAAACCGAGGACAATTACTGCCTTAAAAGCGAACATTCGAGCAGAAATGGCGGCCATATCGACAGCAACGTGCCGGCATGTTTTTGAAAATTTAAAGTCCCGCTTAGAAGAGTGTTTGCGGCGAGACGGGGAACACCTAGACGATGTTATTTTCAAGAAGTAAATTAAATTAATGTTAAATTAAGTTACTTTTTGAATAAACTCTCTAAGTATTATCAGTCTTTTTTATATGGGTTTCAAAAGTGAACATTATTCTGGCCCATCCTATACCATCACACCATGTACTTACTTTACTTTAACAGCCTGCAAATGATCCCCTGCCTGAAAAGGGCCTGCCCGGAGGAGTTGCCATAATTGCATTGGCACACAGGTTGATGTTTATAGTGTCATACACCTCGCACTCCACACAATTTGGCTGTTCAGCACCAGGTTATCTTTAACTTTACAGCCTATCACAAGTCTAACGCTGAACATAGACCTTCCCCATAGATTGCCCTATAAGGGGGATATTTGATAACCACAGTTTTTTATCTTTAGTTATTGCTAGATAGATGCTACTTCTTCCTTACCTTACACCCATATTTATATGCCTTTGTACTTCATATACAAGTAATATTTTTACCTATGAAATTAGTGTAAATAAAACCGCAAAGAGCTTGCGCTTAGTCAAATAATGTTATAATTCTAAAATAACTACTTCATTTGTTTACCTGTCTGATTTGATGTATTTTTATTTCCTTTTACTTAAATGGACTCTGGTTTACCACAAGAGTATTATGAAGGGAAACGAGTACATGATATTATACAAAATGTGTCCCACATATATTCAATAAATGAAACCATATAATTGTTATCGCTTTTGCTGACGATATCCAAAAAATTAACGTAATCGTTCCTTTTTTTACATGGGGAAATGTCTACGCATACCCGCCTCGCAAGGACTCAGGCAAGGACGGGTAATGTCGGACTCGCACCGACTAAAACCCCATGGTGTTCCACCTTCGCCGCATATTGGCAGGGCCACGGGAAAGCTTTCGCACACATCCGCGGCCCCACCAGCGCCGGCTGCCCCATGGCAGCCCCTTCTCGGGGAGAACTTTTCCTCCCCATTCTCCTTCTCAGGCAAGGCGTACCAAAAACACAAGGCACGCCCCCCTTCACGGCCTTCAACTTTTTTTAAAAAAAAAACGTCTCCCCCACACTAGGATTTTCTCCTGTGTCGCGGATGCAGTTTACAAACATAAATTGCACAAGGACAAACATCCAGACCCGGAAAAATTATTTGTAGGCCATACAAATACTTCTTCCGTGCGGGATTCGAACCCGCGGCCCCCAGCGCAACAACTGATTGCTAAGTCACTGCGCCACAGAGCCGTCAAACTCCACCTGCGTATCGGACCGATACGCGGAGGCCAGAGCCTCATTCCTTATTTTCGATTGTTATGCCTTTTTACTGTCTCTTTTTTTCATAATTCTTGTACGTACGTTTTTTTGTTGATATTTTTGACCTTTAGCTAGCTTTATTTCTCTCTATTCACTTATATATTTATTTATTATTTAGAAACCGAGAATCGGAGTATTAATTCATTTCATTTATATTTTATTTCGTGATATTTATCACGCGTGTACTTTACACATATAGGCCCCCCATTTACTTGGGTATTATGTTACTTTTTATAACATTCATTTCATTTTATTGGTGCATAAACTTTTTAAAAAAATACTATATCAAGGTAAAACTGCACCTTGGGTTGTGCGCACAACCTTGAGGTCTACGTTTAAGTCATTTTAAAAGGACTCCAACCATTATTGTCACAAATGAAAACTGAGTTCACACTATGATCCAATGAAGGATGTGACCTCTATGTACCATAAAGGAGATGTATGAAATTGGGTTGTTGACATCGTTCGTAACAGTTATACAAAAATATGTAGGTATAACGATAAATTATAAGCAGAAATAAATGGTTTTTATTTCTGTAGTCCTTGGGACAATCATAAAAACATTTTTTTTAACCCTTAATTTGGCAAGGAAAAAAAAGTTAAAAAATACCTATTTTTTTGTTAATATTTATTTAGTAGTGAGTAAAAACATACGAAAAAAAATAATATAAAAAATATTATATACTTATTTTCGCGAAAAATCAATGTCCGGCACTACGGCCATTGCCAAATATGTAAAAACTGACTTGCTGATTTAACTGTCCGGTCTGACGGACATTATCAATTTAGGGTAAAATAATAAATCCAACTATTTTAATATTTTATTAAGCATATAATAACTTATGACTAAAAAATAAATGCCATCTTCCTTTTTCCATTTGCCTTCATTCGCCTTTCTGTGAACCAACCAAGCATTGTTTGCACAAATGTCCAGTAATTGACCAAAAATGCCCATGTACCAGCGTCGTGTTTTAAATGGCGTCTTGTACAGCTATATCAATATATCAGCTAGGTCGACTCCACCCATATGTTTGTTGTACTGTCGCACAATTTGTGGACACTGTACTACTACTGTCGGCTCGGCCACAGCAGTAGAGGAATAGTTGCTGTTAGTAGAAGGACATTCATCATGCATTTCAGATTCAGAGTCTGATTTTCCACTAGCATTTGATGGAGCATGCTTGTTAGGAACTAAGGCTAATACTCTTGACGCACGTGTGTGCTGTTGACAAGCAGAAAAGAAAAACAAATAAGAAAGCACCCATAACCGCAAATTAAACGAACTTTGGTGATGTCCGTCCCAGCGGACAATGTAATTTGGAACAACATTTCTAGATCTTTGGCAATGTACGCTGGGACGGACAAAGAGGTTAAGAAGCAAAAAAAAACAATAGAACACACTTCATACGTTAGGAATTGCGAGTAAACATAATCACATATATATATTCTATAACCCAATGCAAAATACTTTTACTTTTGTTACACAAAAAATAAAAAATATCAAATTTTTTACCTTGCTAAAAACAGATAATCGCCTCCTCGCCGACATTTTGTTTTCGAGTGACAGATACAGTTTTGCCACTCTAGAAATTCCTTTTGCACAATCTTACTTATGGAACAACAAATAATTGTCAGTAAAAGAAAAAATTTTAATCCATTTGCAAGACGCACAGGATTTTTTTGAAACTTATGTCCGTCCCAGCGGTCAAAATCAAATTAAGGGTTAAATTGAAATAGAAAGCTAATGCTTTTGCTTTAGCAAAAACGAAGCGTTTTTAAATATGTTTCTGTTCTATCTATGGCAATAGATAATGAAGGCTATATTTATAATAAAATAACCTTCCTTACCAAAAAAAATCATAATATTGAAACATTGACACGAATCTGTAGTTATTAATATTGAATAAAATAATATATTTAGAAAACGATTGAGTAGGCTATGTCATTAAATCAAAAAACATTTGAATATTATCCTACACGACTGAATAGGCTGTATGGTTATCGATCATTGTATATTCCGAAGGAGACTTAACTAGGTAACTTCATGTCATGCCTCATGCGGTATTCGCATTTGGCATTGTAGCTATTTTTTGGATTGATTGTGTTTTTACTTTCGTGGATTTATTTAATTTGACACTTGGATTTTCTCTCGGATCACAGGATAGTAGTGTGTTGCGCCTATATGATGAAAATAATGTGATACTTAAGTTTTGAGAGGAATAGAACAGACAATGTACAGCCTCCGGCTATTTTTTTAGATGACATTTTATTGATAATTGCAGAAAATTGTTAAACAATTAAAAAAGGTTGAGTTTTATTTTACTTCATATAATAATAACTACAAAACTGCATTATTACTGCAATTTAAAACATATAAAAGCAGCCCACTAACATTAAACATAAACTTTAATAATATACAGCTAGAAGAAGTTGATACTTTTAATCTTTTAGATGTGTGAGTGTATTCAAACATCAATTGGAAAACGCACATTAATTATATAAAGTCTAAAATTTCAAAATTTACGTATGCTTTATTTCAAATTAAATACACCACTGACACAGCGACGGCATTGTCAGCTTACTATGCTTATGCTCATTCGTGGCTAAAGTACGGAATTCTGTTGTGGGGAAGTAGCGTCGATGTGTAGCAGCTTTTTATTACCCAGAAGAAGTGCATTAGAATACTAGCCCAGGTAGATAACACTACTAGCTGTAGACCGTATTTCAAACAACTAAATATTCTTACCTTACCCTGTATGTACATTTATGATCTATGCCTGTTTGTGCACAAAAATAATAATATTTTTAAGAAGATTAAAGATACACATAATTTAAATACACGTAACATAAATAAATTATACCTACCACAGTCGCGAACAAAAATGTAAAATGCAAGCCCCTACTATATGGCAATAAAAATATATAATAAATTTAATTAATAGAATCAGGCGTTACTTTGCGGAAATCCATTATATAAAAAAGCTTTTACAAAAATTTACTTCGCAAATATCCGCGTTATAAAATAAAATTATGTGTCTTACCTAGTATGAAGAAGCACCTCCCGCCCTCCCTCAATTGCGTGCACTATCCCCGTCACCACTAATCCCAGCACCGCTACTTCCAACACCACTACACTAGGCAAGACACACCACTGACGATAATACGACACGTGTTTCGCCTCTACACGAGGCATCCTCAGGTGATATAGACTCTACGGTGGCTAACCGCTAAGTGAGCGGCGAGCCAAAACAAGTGCCTTTTATACAAACCGATGATGCAACCGCTCTCTACCTAAGAAGCGAGCGATTGCGTCATCCAGCGGTAATTGGTCGCATGTTTTATCGCATGACGCAATCGAATACGCTCACCATTTTTTTCGTCGTTATGCCTTCTACGATAGACTCATTGTCTGCTCGTGAAGTAGCTGACATTCATTACATTTACGGGTTTTGTGATGGCAACGCTCGCGTCGCCTCTCGAGAGTATCATCAGCGATTCCCGACAAGACCTGCCGTTGACTACAGAGTTTTCTTAGCAGTACATCGAGAATTAAGTGAAAATGGACTGCATCGCCCACATCGTGAACGTGCTTCTACTGTACCGGTGGATGTGGATGAACAAGTGTTCCGTTTGGTGTACCAAGACCCCACAATTAGTACTCGACGAATAGCACTCCAATTGGGGATTAATTACGTCCAAGTGTGGAAAATTTTGAAAAAG